AGAGAGAGAGAGAGAGAGAGAGAGAGAGAGAGAGAGAGAGACTAAACAGAGGCCTTTCCTGCCTCCTAGTGGCATCATGGGTAAAAACATCCAAACCAAAATAACTCCTGATGAACTGACAGCAATCTGATTGATGTGGCTCTGTGTCTGCAGCATTACATTTGCATTATAGTATATCAATTTTAGATATATAGATTATATCACATCAGTTTGCTGTTTAAGCAGATGCTTATCAAGAGGCTTTCATGCCAATGAGTTCCCGTTAGGCATCCACATTTATTTATAATGAAGTTATGCACTGTATATTAGATCATTGCATTCCTGCACTGGAGCTCAATGCAAACGGTCAAAGTGAACATTTCGTAAAATGTGAAGAATCTGAGTAACAATATAACTGCTTCTTCTTCCAGAAGATATGTTCTCCCATAGTAACACCAGATAGAAAGATGTTGTAATAACAGCAACAATATCCATTTTGTTGTGAACAAAACAATGCTGTTAACACAAGTGAAATTCAGAGAATTTTAGGGACAAATGTAATCCAACACTGTGTTTGACAGCAAACTGGATTAGATATGAGGATTTGTTCAAATTTATAATTTTGCAGGATAGTGGTCTCTTACTCCCAAGACCGTGTGTGTGTGTGTGTGTGTGTGTGTGTGTGTGTGTGTTCATGTTGACTGTGTCTGTGACGTAACTGCCCCTGGTTTCCTCTCTTCCTCTCTCAGTCACATACACACACACACACACACGCACACACACACGCACACAAACGCAGTCAGGCAGCAGCAGCAGCAGCAGACGCTCAGTGCTGCTCTCAGTGTGCGGAGCGGGGGAGGAGGACCGACGGCACAGTAGTTATGCCTCAGCTCTGGGAATATATATCTCCCCTCTGTCTCTCTCTCTGTCGAGCGCGCTGTTTTTGTTCTCTTCTCATTTTTACCTGTCTCCTTTTTTTTGGAGAAGGCGGTAAGGAAAGCCAGCTGTGCGTCATGGTGCGTGTTTGCGCATTATTTCTGGATCTTTAAAAAAAAAGTGATTTATTTTGCCTGGACTAAAATGAAGCGCTTTTCCTGTGTGAAGGAGAAGAGAGGTGGCGTTTCGCTGTCCGTGTCTCTTCCCTGAATATTTGGCTGCAGCTGCTGGTGATCTGCGTGAAGACACTGAATAAATCGGCGCTCTCAATAAGGTAAAAAGGGTTGCAGTAAGCGGCTTTTTCTCCCTCCGATTCTGCTCTGTCTCTGACAATGTGCCAAGTCCATCCACCGCATAGGATCCCGTTGATTTGCGATGGTTTTGCTTTTTGTCTTTTTCAGGATTGATTTTTTTGGGAGACGGATTTTGGATTTTTTTGTTTTTTTAATTTAAAGTGAAGGTCAATGGAGAAATTTGATAATCTCCTTTTAACATACTAATAACGGTTAGTGCGCCTGTTTTCTGCGTGCCTGTATATTTGTGTGTGTGTGTGAGTGTTTGTATGTGTGAGAGCGCCTCTACCTCCTTTTTCCATCACCCTGCTCTGAGATCTCACCCCCTGATTTTTTTTTTTTTAATCTCCATCCAAGGCTTACGCTGCAAATTTAAATGCTGGATCTATATTTCAGCGACCATTTTTGGCTGTAAAAATGCTGAGCGGCGTCCTCTTGCTGAGCGTCCTCACGGTCACCAGCCTGTCACCGTCCGAAACGGAGAGCCGCAAAACTTCAGCCTCCAAAGAGATCTGCAAGAGCCGCTGCAGCTGTGAGGAGCGGGAGAACATCCTCAACATCAACTGTGAGAATAAAGGATTTACCACCGTCACTCAGTTCCAGGCGCCCCCAAATAAAATCTCACAGCTTTTTCTAAATGGGAACTTCCTGTCACGGCTCAGCGCCAATGAATTCGTCACTTATGGCAATGTCACCTCACTGCATCTGGGGAATAACGGCTTGCAGGAGATCCGAACAGGCGCATTTAATGGGCTGCGCTTCCTGAAGCGGCTCCACTTGAACAACAACAACCTGGAGGTGATCAAAGAGGACACCTTTGCAGGGCTGGAGAGTTTGGAGTATTTACAGGCAGACTATAATTACATCAGCGCCATAGAGCCGGGTGCTTTCAGTAAGCTGAATAAGCTAAAAGTGTTGATCCTAAATGACAACCTGCTGTTGTCTTTGCCTCCCAACATTTTCCGCTTTGTGCTCCTCACCCACTTGGATTTACGTGGCAACCGGCTCAAGATGCTGCCGTTTGCTGGGGTTTTAGAGCACATAGGCGGCATCATGGAGATCCAGCTGGAGGAAAACCCATGGAATTGCACTTGTGATCTGATTCCCCTCAAATCCTGGTTGGACACTATTTCTGTCTTTGTGGGGGACATAGTGTGTGAGACACCATTCAGGCTGCATGGTAAAGACATCACCCAGCTCATAAAGCAGGATCTGTGCCCGCGCAGGAATGCTGGGGACCGTGTTCAACCCCCCTCTGACTCTCACTTTCAAGGGGCCCTGCCCCCGACCTACCACCCTGGCATGATAACCCCCACCCGTTCCCCAAAAGCTTCCCGCCCGCCCAAAATGCGCAGGCCTACCCCTCGCATCACAAAGGACAAACAAGTCTTCGGGCCTATAATGGTTTACCAGACGCGCTCCCCTGTGCCCATGCTATGTCCCAGCGTGTGCGTGTGCACATCACAAAACCCTGACAGTGGATTGAACATAAATTGCCAAGAGCGGAAGTTGCATAACATCAGTGAGTTGAACCCTAAGCCCTCTTACCCAAAGAAACTTCACCTGACTGGTAACTACTTACAAGTGATTTACAGGACTGATCTCACTGAGTACAGCTCGCTGGAGCTGCTTCATTTAGGAAATAACAGGATTGCAGTGATTCAGGAAGGAGCATTTGAAAATCTAACAAACCTCAGACGGCTCTATCTGAATGGGAATTACATTGAATCGCTTTCTCAATCCCTCTTTGCTGGCCTGCAGTCACTCCAGTATCTGTATTTGGAATATAACATAATCAAAGACATTTTACCACAAACGTTTAACTCACTGCATAACCTTCAGCTGCTTTTTCTCAACAACAACCTGTTAAGATCCCTCCCTGACAATGTTTTCAGTGGTACCATGCTAACGAGACTCAATTTAAGGAATAATCATTTCTCCTACCTTCCGGTTCGTGGGGTGCTGGACCAGCTGTCAGCATTTATCCAGATTGACCTTCAGGAGAACCCCTGGGACTGCACCTGTGACATTGTGGCACTCAAAAATTGGATGGAGCTGTCCAGTACCAGCGTAGTGGTTAACGAAATCACTTGTGATTCGCCCTCTAAACACGCGGGTCGCCTGCTGCGCTCGCTTCGCAATGAGGCCATCTGCCCTGAGCCCAGTGAGGTGCCCCCGCCACAACATGCACCCCCTACAAAAGCCCCCACGTTAATAAGCCCTGGCACTGTGGTCACCACTCCTTCCTCTTCTTCCTCTTCTTCTTCCTCTTCTTTTTTTAGCTCCATCAGCCCCACTGAATCCCGAATCCACACTCCTGAGTTACACCCTGAGGTCCCACTTTCAGTTCTGATTCTTGGGCTCCTTGTTGTTTTCATCCTCTCAGTCTGCTTTGGTGCAGGCCTCTTTGTTTTTGTTCTGAAGCGGCGCAAAGGTGTGGAACACGTCCCCACAGGCGCCAACAACCTAGATCTCAACTCTTTTCAAGTGCAATATGGCTCCTACACTCCTGAACTGACCCAAGACAAAACCTCAGAAAGCCACGTTTACAATTACATCCCCCCACCTGTGGGCTCCATGTGCCAAAACCCTATTTACATGCAGAAGGATGGTGAACAGGTGGCATATTACCGCAATCTGAAGGAGCTCAGCTTTGGGCCCCTGGACGCAAAGAAGGATGTCCTCACACGCAGCCCAGGGGCTTACACCATCAGCACAATGGATTTTATGGATAAATCTCCAACATCGTGCGGTTTGACCACGCCAGATCCTCCTGAGATGTTGTATCAAAACTTGGGGGAAAGGCCCCACAAGGAGCTTCCCACAGCTGCAGGTGCCCCCCCTTTCCATTACAATTTTTGCACTTTACCTAAGAGACCTTGCATCGTGCCCCCCTATGAGGCTGCTACAGCCCGGCGGCATATCACCAATCAGGACAGGTTAAACAAAACTGTGCTTTACGGGACCCCCAGGAAATACTACGGGGCCGAACATCCCTCCAAAAACAATGAGCACCCGCTTCTGCTCCCTGGGAAGCTAAAAACAGAACCAGACTACCTGGAGGTTCTGGAGAAACAGACTGCGATGAGCCAACTGTAAGATAGTGACAATGCCCCCCCCTCCCCTTAGGTTCTGTGCAGCATTCATAATAATCACGCAGTTATTGTCATAATAGCCCTCTCTATATATCTATCTTATCTATATGTGTTCAATCCTTCATGATTGACTGGAAATGAATCCTTTGATGATCTTTTTTCTCTCTTCCTTTTCTTCTCTTTCTTTTTTGTCAAGATGTATAAACGGAGTATAAGAAGTATATTATTATGCAGTTCTATTTCTTTTTCTCCTGGGAGGTATAAATTATTACTTTTTTTTTTTTTTTTGTTGAAAATGAAATTCCAAAAGACTTTGATGGCAGGTATACAATGGGCAGGACTGCGTACAAAAACAGCTTTGTGCTTTTCATAAAACTGTATTTTATTTTCCCTGTGGAAAACAGAAAAAAAGTATGAAATAATTATTCTTTGTAGAAGAGGAAATGCTACAGATTGACATTCCTGTACATACTTAGCATACACAGATAAATGGTGAGTGTTAAAAGAGAACCTTTTCAAAATCCAACAAGTGGCAAAATCTTACTATAGTTACTCCAGAAAGTGCCTTTGCACTCAACTATTTTATCAACAATGCTCTCTGCAAATGTTCCTTATTTTGAAAGTGCTGTATTTTAAAGAAACCTTTATGTAAAATAGAAGACTTATTTGTCTGTTTAAAAAGGAAAAAAAAGAAAATTATAATTTGATTCTGGGTGTGAAGTGATATATGAGGTCTTGATTGGGAGAATTATGTTATTTTGCTTTGAATATGAAGTGTCTTTGGAGATGTACAACTTATAGAGAATATTGTATGCTATAGGGGAGCAATACAGCGCGGTGAAATTGCGCCATTAAACTTTCACTGAAGCACTTTGTCAACATCCTGAGCTTGAGGTAAATTTTGTTAAGAATGTGCTTGATTTTTCTTCTTCTTTTTTTGAGTGCTGCGGTGTGCTGTGATCTGCTCTTGAGTGTGTGTGTGTGTGTGTGTGTGTGTGTGTGATGGGAGCCAGAGAAAATGAAAATAGAATCACCTGCCTGCAGCTCCTCCTCTCTTCCTCTCTCTGCAGTCCTCTAATGATTGACGAGGTGGATTTTTTGGGCACCGTCTAAGTTGAGTGATAGCCATTGCTTCCTTCTTCCTTTCCTGACACAGCATTTACGTTTTTCTCCAAGTGCCCTCTGCTCCCTCTGAAGTCTCCGCTCCATCCATCTGATTTTGTACAGACAACACTAACATTCGACAGAGACGGTCAATATTTTCTCCTGCAGAGACAAGGATATGTCAAGACATCACGGGGTGCTTTGAAGTGATTGTGTTGTGCTGAAGATTTTTGATTGGAAAATTGAGATTTTTTTTTGACAGCTAGCTGCTTCTTGGGAATTGTAATCTTACAGGCGAGAAGAATTGTCATTAGTGCAGCAATTAACAGTAGTGAGTTGCCCCTTGTGGATAAGCAGTAAAAGGAAATGTGCTGGTGGTGAAAATGGAGGCTGATCTGCAGTGTGGAGTTCTGTCTCTGCTGCCATTTCTCATTAGATGCAGCATTCCTTGGCATCATGCCGCTCGAAATGACTCCAGTTATGTAGATATAAAAAAAAAAAAAAATTGGCATTTTTTTTAATAGTGGCTGCTTCTCTTTCTTACAGGGGAGAAGAATTGCAATTATTGTAGCAATTGACAGTGGTGGATTGTTGATAAGCAGTGAAAGGAAATCTGCAGCATAAGGAGCATTGACTCTGCTAGAAACCATCTTAGGATACACAGCCCCTGTACGCAGCCTGCCATTCAGAAATAATGCTTGTGCATAAGTGTGCGTATTATCATCCCCAGTGCATTCATTGGCCTGTCCTCCTCTTTTACTCAGCTGTGTGACATAGATGAACTGTGTTACCCGCTCTAATGCTAATTCTGTTTTCTATCCTTCAACTCCAGTTGACATTGGCTCTTTGTATCCTCTGCGAATGACCTCCCAGCGGCCAAATTCTTCTCCCCACCCACCCCCCCTTTTTTCTCCTTTTGTATACCCGGAGCCCTCCTCCACCTCCTCCTCTGTCTTTTGTCCTCGTGTTTTTCCCCCTGCTGGATCTCTTCTGGCTATTGTTTAGCTGTCCAAGGTGCTGAAATGTTGTCGGCAACAAGGCCCCGCTCCAATCTGTCGACTGGGACTTGAGAGACCTGTGAGATGAGCAAGTTTCCACTTTTTTGTGATTAAAAAGTCTTGGTCTTTGTGTTGGTTGCTAGATTTAAAAAAAGACTTGGCTGCAGGGCACTGAGGGAGTCCCTTCATATTGCATGTAAGCTGGTTGTATTTGCTGGTTGTAATTTTTGTGTTGGTAACTACATGGGTTGATTGCACTGAAAGAACATAGCACATTGGAAACGGTACCTTAAAGGAAAAGTTTGGTATTTATCAACCTGGACCCTATGTTGTAATGTTTTTGAGTTTAAGTGAAAACAGCAACAATAGTTTTTGAAATTAGTCCATTATTGAAGAGACTGCTGCAGCCGCAGCGGCGAAACAGGCTGCAATGTAAATCCTACGAGCAACTGTGCACCATAAATTTTCCTCTATTTAAAGTGTTTGGTTGTGTCACAGGCTCAAATTGTTATTAGAGGAGTCTGACAACCTTATGGATAGCACTCTATGGAGAAAAGAAAAATTTTCTTTACCTTTTGCTGATCTGGTGTGTTTGTTTCTGTGTGTAAAGCCCTGTTCAGACCAAAGACGGGACGAGATGAGTTGAAACAGGCAGCTACTTGCAATGTGCTGGTCTGCAACATTTTAAAAACCTGGCGGTTCACACCAATGCAACTAGACGAGACAGTGTATCATATCTATGTAACAACTCTGTACTTTTGTTCTGATTTCCAGCTTCTCAGGCTTATTTTGTGGAATATAATTTCTAGCTTTTTAAAATATGAATGAAGATAGTGCTAGTGAGATACTGGCTACAGTTCCAATTGTTATAATGATGAAACAGCGAAAAAAAAACAACCAGACACAAAACGAGCATCAGAATGTATTTGTAATCAATACGCCACAAATCAGTCAGTGAGAATGCATAGCACATACAGCGAGCACTGGCTGCGACCCATCATCTAACACTGGCACACTGTGGAGACGGAAACACCTTTTCTCTTCATTTCTTTCCAACAAACATCGACCTTCACCTGAAAGAGCTGTGTTCATGTCCCATAAGATTCTAATGCCAAACCCTATTCTTTTTTCCTAAACCTGACCACGTGCTTTTGTTACCTAAACCTAACCATGTGCGTTTGTTGTTGAAGGGAAAAAAATGTCAATTTGCAGTGTTGTACCGACGTAGTGTGTTTATTTTGAAAGACACTGTATGCAAATGTGGAATTTCCTGTGAAAATGAAATCTTGAAAGAATAGAACTTGACATGGTGTCCCAGAACGTAAACAAATAACACACCCAGGGTACCTTGCACGTTGTTGGTGGACATGGAAAGCCCATGACCAAAACATCAATATGTGACGAGGTCAAAGTGAGAATGTGTTGCTCCAACACAACAAATTCTTCCTCCTCTCTCCAACTCTTAGAAAGATTTCACCGTTGTTTTTCTTGCAACAAGTCACTTTTGGCAAGATTTTAGAGGGAGACACAGTAACAAACAGACCAGGAGAGGGTATGGAAAAATGTCTGATTTCTCCATAGAATCTTTTCTCTGTAGGATCTTTTCTTTGAATGAACGTAAATTGTGCAGGAATTTAAGTGCACAATTGCCCCTAGGGATTATATTGCAGCCATCTTTCTGAATACTGAAGCAATTTCAAATATTGTTGTTTTCACTTTGACACAAAATCATACAAAATAGAGTCCAGGTTTAAAAATATTGCAGTTTCCCTTTAACTCAGGGTCCATTTGCTGGCTTTTTTCTAGAGCTTTCAACCACCTCTCACAGTCTCAAAGACCTTTGTTACCTGTGAAAATGCTCTTCTGAAGATTGCTAAATGCAGTTTAAAGCTCTCAAGATATATTTGCAGGAATGTGGGCTTGCCAGTGATGCAAACTGAGTCACCTTTTCAGAGAATTTGCTTTGTTGCTGTTCCATGTAAGCCAAGTCTTGCTGTTTATGAGACTTGCAGTAAACTATTTGCTTATATGGTGTTGACCTTTTTTTTGGAGTATACGTCATCATTTCACTCAGTTGAACACATGTTGTTGTGTGCGCACAACTCCAGCAGAACGCATTCTCATCCCAAGTCATCACATATCACTGCTTTGTCATTGGACTAGCATCTATGTATAATGTACTAGATATCTTCCTGCATCTGCTGTTGGCTTTCCAGCATGCCCCAACCAGCACCAGGATACAGTCAAAATAAACTTACAGCATTGGTAAAACACCTCATATTTATGTTCATTTCCTTGTGCAACAAAAGAACATGGTTAGGTTTAGGCAAGAAAAGCAAGTGGTTACAATTAGAAAAATACATCATGGTTTGGCTCTACATTCATATGGGAACTGAACAGCGCACCCCTGGGCGAAAGTCCACGGTTTGTCAGTTTTGGTGTTGTTTTAGTGCCGTTGTGTGACACCAAAATCACTGACAACATGGTGGTATTTGACAACTTCAGAATGAGAACAGGCTGATGTGACAGATAAGGGCTGAACCAGAAAGTCAGTCTGTTATATTTACCTGATGTTAACACTGGACAGTTTTGGTAAGAGCGTCATTGTTTGCTGTAGCTCTCTCCTTCAAATAACATTGGTTAAACTTGTTAACAACTGATATAACGTTGCTGCATTCCCAGCATTGTCAGCAATGCTAATATTAGTGACATGAATTATGGCTAAAACAGGAAATATGGTTTTATTTGAAATCCTTGATAATGAAGGCATTCCTCTGTCATCACATCTGCTGTCCCAGACTCCATAGAGGTACATCCACATTTATCCATCTAGTAAGAAATGGGGCATTGACATCAAAGAATCCCCACACAATTCTTCCATAATAAATTGTTTCAATAAACTAGTATTATCAGGCAGAAACCACAGTTTCTCTCAGTAAGCAGAGTTTATGGATAATATTGTTTGCAGCAAGAGTTGTGCAGCAGAGCGAAGAAGCTGCAGTTCTGAACACCTGAAAAAAAAAAAAACACATTCTCCTTTAATATTGTTTTGCTGTTACTTCTGCATGAAATACCTCATTTACTGCAAATGCTGATATTTTCTCTATCTCTTCCTCTTTTTCTCTTTTTTCCCTTTATGCATTTACTTGTGGCCCCTTAGTGCCGTAACTTTTTTTATCGAGTATCGAGTTGCTTTCATCCGTGGTTTCTGGTGCAAAGGCACACAGCGAGCAGGGGAGATGCTGCAGTAAGCAAAGCTGTGAATGCTGTCATGTGGGCTTCCTTTTTAACAAGCTTCGCCATTTCAGCTGCTGTGTGAATGGGAGAAAGAGAGTGTGTGTGTGTGTGTGAGAGAGAGAGAGAGAGAGAGAGAGAGAGAGGGAAGGAGAGAGGTCGGGAGAGATGAACGGAAGGAGAGAGAGAGAGAGAGAGCTGTTCATTCCTCTCCTTTTCTGAAAATGGAGTGATTTTCCTTCCTTGAGCACAATAGGTCCTCTGTGTCTTTTTTGTGGCAGTGAAGGAAAGAGAGGGAGTGCTCGCATGCATGCACACACACACACACACACACACACACACACACACACACATTCACATATACACACACAGGGGATATAAGGGAGGGTTGGAACATTTGCAGCCTTGCACACCAATGAGGAAGCTTTCTCCCCAGAACACTCTCCTCTCTTATCTTGCAGCCCTGGGACTCTTGTATGTGTGTGTGTGTGTGTGTGTGTGTGTGTATGTGAGTGAGTGAATGAGTGAGTGACTGAGTGAGTT